ACTAATTTTCTTATCTGTTTGCTGGAGTTCTTTCTTTATAAGGGAATTGTGAATTACGAATTTTTTTTCTTCAGTTTGTAATTGCCCTATAACTTTGCTTACAGTTGTTTTTACAGGAAGAATTTTGTTGTTTTTATGTATACAAATGTATCCATCTTTTATGTTTTATATGGTGTATATAGTTCATAGCTAAAGAGTCTTATTGCCTCCAAAGTCATAAAATAATTCTTCCATATTTTTCTATTCCCTTTACACTTAAATCTTTGATGTATTTGGAATTATGATGTATAGTGTGAGGCATGGATCCAACTATTTTTTTTCCAATGTCTACTTGAGTGCCTTAACATCATTTAATGTGATCTACCTCTATCATATGTTAAATCCCGTGATTTCATAGCACTTTATAAAAGTACTTTTATATTAGAAGTAGAACTCTAACATAAAACCCTATAAAACATGAAGTAGAGTCAACTATTTCATCGTTAACTAATATTATAGTAATGTTTACAATAATAACGTATATGTAGCCTTTAAAAATAAGCATATAGCCCTCTTATTTGTCAGTTCCCTAAGTGTATCATACTTTGACTTTATTTTCAGCTATGTTAAAGCCCATGAAGAATGTCAAAGAATGCAATTTGTCAAAGCACAGCTGAAACTATGATTTATTTTTGTCTAGGTGTTTGCCTTTCAGGGCTGAATATGACTATTAATCATAGCTTTACAAAGATTCTTAGTAAATAGCATTAGTTTTCTAATGAAAGAGACCTATTAAAAAGAGCCATATCTGTTACAACTCTGAAACAAAAAAAAAATGTTGCTGGCTTCTTTTCTTATAATTAATGTCCTGTCTTTAATAATCCAGAGGACCTGACTGGAACACTGGATTGCATGATGAAGAGGGTATGACTGTCAGAGAGCTACTTACTGACCTGTATGGCAAAGTTGGAGAAATTCGTCACTGGGGCCTGATCCGATACATTTCGGGAATCTTAAGGAAGAAGGTGGAAGCACTTGATGAGGTACTATAAGTTATTCTTGAATTTATATCAGAACAACACAGAGGTGCTTTAAAATTGGTTACTTTGTATAGCAACCACAACCTGTAATTATTTGGGATGTTTTCTTTCCCATAAAAAGTTTCTGATATGCAGTTAAATTTTTGTTTGTGAATGTCAAATACAGAATACTGACGCATATGAATTACAGACTTAACAGAGATGTTATAAACTCTAAGAATTCTAGTTCTTCATGGTATTTCCTGAGAAAGAGTTTGATGTGTCATTAAGTGTGAGCAAAGATTTCTAGATTGAAAATCAAAATTTTCGTGGAGACCTGAGTTGTTACGGGAGGATAATGCTGTTCTGTTATCCCTTTGTAGGCCTGTACAGACCTCCTCTCCCACCAGAAACACTTGACAGTTGGACTCCCTCCAGAACCTCGAGAAAAGACCATTTCTGCGTATGTTTGTTTGTTTGGATTTGGGTTTGGATTTGATCAAGCTTCTCTGCATCTTTAAGGAGCTATATGGACTGTTCACAGTTCACGTGCCCTAATCTGTCAATGGGTGATTACGTCCTACATGTACACACTTCTGTCAAAGACACTTGACTTGACAATGCCTATAATGACAGAGCATGTATAAATGAAAGCAAAAACTCAAAAGTAGTAGTACTCAAACATTTTTTAGTTACTACCTTTCCCAAACCTCCCATTCAAAAAACAAAATAAACTGGATAATTGGATTAGCACCCACAAAAAATCAGCTATATCCTGGAAAGAGGAAGTCAGAACAAAGTGTCTGATTAAAGCTCAAGGCTGATAATGGAACTCCATGCTGCTCAGGAAGTAATGAAGGGGGTGGAGGTCATAGTCAAAGGAGAAAAGTAGGTATTTGCAGAGCCAGTCTTCCAAGAATACTGTTATCAGTTGTCACTATCTCAGTCAGCTGCTGCTTCCAGCTGGAAACAGTGTCCTAGAATAGGCATGGACTGAAGGGCATGGGGTGTTGGGCGACAGTCTGTGATGGAAATTTTAATTTTTACTTAGGAGTCTTCCTTTGGCCACCAGCCATACCAATAAAACTAATCTTCACTAAATCTAATTTGATATCATGCCAATACCAAAGTTTAAATTTGCAAGCTGGCTATATCGATTCTAACTTCATTCATAAGTGATCTGAAAAATTTGTTTTTCTACTACTATTTACACTTCTGTAACCACTGTAATGAAACATTTTTTTTGTTTGAATATAGCTTTTTTAAATTTATATATATGTATTTTACATCATTGTTCATTTTTGTACAATGTTTAATTTCTCCTCTCAGGTGTAATTCCCATAAAATTCCCACCACCAAGCCATCTGTGAACCATCACCACAAAATGGGGAGGGAAGAGCACAAGAAACATTTATCTTGTAAACAGAACGTGCTCTAAATTTATTAACTTAATGAAAAAAAATGAGGAAGCAATAAGCAAGGATATGTTCACTGATGTCTGAGTAACACGTCACCCTAGTTTTTGTCCATGATTTCTATTGCCTTTGGGATCTAGGTCAATCTCCTATATGAAGGCTCTGAGAGAATGTGCTAAGACCATGTGTCCTAGATACCATGGAACCTATAAAATCCAGGGTTTTTTTTTTTTTTCCCAGGAAAAGAGCCCTAACCACGTGTTATAGTTTGCTAGGGATATTGTAACAAAGTGTCACAGATTGGGTGGCTTTGTCATCTCACTCAGTAGTTCTGGGGACTGAATGTCCAAATCAAGGTGTCAGCAGGGTTGGTTTCTTCTGAAGGTTATGAAGGACTTTGTTCCAGGCCTCCTCCTTGAATTAGAGATAGGTGTTTTCTTCCTATGACTCTTTACATTTCTCCTCTTTATGTGTGTCTTTGTGTCCAAATTTCCCATTTATGTAAGGACACCAGTCAACTTGGATTAAAGCCTACCTTAATCACCTCACTTTAAAGTAATTAATTACCTCTGTAAAAACCCCATCTCCAAATAAGGTCACACTCTAAGATACTAGGAATTAGGATTTCACCTTATCAACTTTGTGGGGAAATAATTCAACCTGTAACTCCATTCTCCTGCAAAAATAACCTTTTATCACAAATCAGATCAAATTTGTGACTACTATGGGCAATCCAAAAGAAAATGGCATGGTCCATGACCCCAGAGCTTAATACTAACAGTAAAATTAGAAGTTTGGGAAAAGGTGTGCATACCTGTGTGTGTGTGTGTGTGTAAAGAAACTATAGAAAATCAATATAATGCTATATTGTAAAAGTATTAACATGGTTGCTAAACAGTACAGCTTAAAATTAATTTATTTCTAGCCATAATAGTTGCTTGTCAAGTGTTAAAAATTAACTATGAAAGACTAGTGTGGAAGAACATCATAGGGTGAGTTTTAAATAAAATTTTGAAGGAGGAGAGCAATCCACATTTAGAGAGGAGTGAGTAGAGCTCTCCTGAGTTGATATGAACCCAAGTGGTTTGAGGAAGCATGAACTTTGAAGACCAAAAATGCCAGAAACCTACTGGTAATGATGAGAACTTGATTTTAACTTGGGAGAAACTTTTTTAGTCTTTCAATATATTTAGGTTTAAGTAGTTTCAGAATTTTGTCTTTCTTTACCGGCTTCTTCCTCAGACCTCTGCCCTATGAAGAGCTCACTCGGCTGATAGATGAAGCCAGTGAAGGGGACATGAGTATTTCAATCCTTACACAGGTGAGTGGATTCTCACAGTTGATATTTTAAAGTTTGTTTCCAATTGATCTGATCATTTCTGAGGACAACAAAGTAGGCCTTTTGAGACCTAGGCCATAATTTTTGTCTATATTTACTCCATACACAGGAAATAATGGTGTATCTAGCCATGTATATGCGAACTCAGCCTGGCCTCTTTGCTGAAATGTTTCGACTTCGAATTGGTCTGATCATACAAGTTATGGCAACAGAACTGGCCCAGTCCCTTCGATGTTCAGGTATGAATTTAGTAATTGTGTCCTCAGGCAGAATTCACTTTTAATGTAGGTCTTATTGAATTTTGGATCAGTAGAAAGAGAAAACTAAAACATTTTTTTTTTATCAGCAGCTCAGAAGTTGCACATAGGAATATTTTTCCCATGTTAGTATTTATACAAGTCAAGGGGCTGTATCATGACCAATTTATATATTAGTTCTGCAACTTGAAAACTACTTCTTGGGGACTCTGCACTCCAAATCATATTCCTCCTAACTCTTCGAGTGATTCAGAGCATACATCGAACTTGAATGTGACAGGCTGGGTTGGATTCTGATTCATGGATACCAACTTGAGCCACCACATCAGTTTGATCATAATGTCAGTATTCTGTTTAATCAACATCAGGATCAAGTAAAGGAAGACCATATTTCTTTTAATACTATTTAATATTATTTGATAGGATAATATTTATCTGTTAATATTATCTAATAGGACTCCCTTTGAAATTAACTGTAAGGTATATTTGGCAAGACAGAAATTTTAGTTAGAAGAATAGCTGAAGCCTATGGAAACTGTAGTATAGAATTGTATAAAGTATTGGTGGGGGGGACCCCCCCCCTTGGCATGACTCTTTTTTTTCCATTGGTATTTGATTCCTATAGGAATGGGTAAGTTATTGAGATAGGGATTGCATAGAAAAATAAAATCAAAGTTGCAAAATTCAGTCCTAGATATTGTTTCAGTTAATAGATCACTTAACAGCTCTTTGGGAAAATTTCAGTAGCTAAATTTATTGATTTGAGTATTCTGAAAATCACATGATAATTTATATTAAATAATCCTTTAAAGGAAGAAAAGTAATGATCATTTTAATACCTATCATATGCCAGACAAAATGTTTTGCTTTATATTTACATATGTTATCTTTTTAATGTTTACAATAAATCTCTGGAGAAGGTAGTCTTGTTTTTTTCTTTTTAGTACTTTTTTCCCCTTACGTTTGTTGTTCATTTTTGACTGTATTTGATTTCTCACCTCAGGTGCAGTCTCCCTAGTTCTCCCACCACCATTACACCCATCAGCCATCCATCACCACCATCCTTTGTGCTCTTCCCTTTCCTGTTTGGACTCCTCCTCCCTCTCCTCCCCTGCTATATGCCTTAGATCTATGGTCAGCTTGCAAGTTTTGTCTTTTTCCTGACACTTTATATTCCACATGTAAGTGAAACCATCCAATATTTATCTTTTTCCTTCTGACTGACTTCGCTGAGTAGAATCCCTTCCAGCTCCATCCATGTTACTGCAAATGGTGTGAGGTTATCTTTTTTGATCCCTGAGTGGTATTCCATTGTGTATATATACTACATCTTCTTGATCCAATCATCTGTTTTGGGGCATTTAGATTGGGTATTCTTTTTGTTCTACTTTTATTGATAAGGAAACTGAAACTCAGAGAAGTTAAATAACTTTCTCAAAGTTACATTGCTAGTGAACAGTAGAATTTGATTCCAAGTCTGCCTGATTCCAAATGATTTCTAGTTCAGCATATTGCTATAGATTACGTGTGATATATATTACATATAATATATATTGCATGTATATATAGAGAACATATGTGTATTTATGTATATATGTGTGTATGTATGTATATTCTCTATCTGTGGGATTCAGGAATATCTTATGAGAGGTTATGATTATTCAGTAAGTCTCAATGAGGGATAAACCCCCAAATTTCCTCACTTTTTCTTAATTGCCTACTATGGCTCTTTTTTCCCCTGTAGATTCATAAAAACTATTGACTCCTTATTACTTATAGTATACACTCAAGATCCCTGGGTCTTATATTTAAGACCTTCAACAGTCTGATTTCTGTCTCCTACTTCAACAGTACTTCCCACTAATTTTATCAATCCCCATCCTTAAGATTGATATCTCGGGCCTCCCCTGGTGGCACAGCAGTTGCGCGCTGGGCTGCAAAGCTGCCCGCAGCCTCTGCAGTGCCGGTTTGATCCCCCTATCTCTGGCTGCTGGCTAGGGTCCCACATGGCACGCAGACCTCCCCTGCCGCGCCCGCTGCTCCCCTCAGCAGTGTATTTAGTCATTCTGCCTGTTCTCTTCCCCACTCTGGCTCTGGTGAATTCTCTCACCCTCCCGTGCTTCTGACTGTATCCAGTACTTGTATAAATAAATAAATAAATAAATAAATAAAATCTTTTTTTTAAAAAAAGATTGATATCTCTTCTGATTTCCAGTTTTTATTGTCTTCAACTCTAATTTGGCATCCTTTAAAGTCATGTTTTATTTTAATTTATCTTTTTCACATGTCCAGCCTCTCCCAAATAGATGGACAGCCTTTCAAAGTCACATATCATGTCAAACCTGTTTGAACTAACATGGCTTAAAATTATGACTTACATGTGTAATATCTATAGTGTCTTTATCTGAAATTGATGAAAAAGTTCATTATATTCTTCATAATTTCATGGATTCATACCTAATATTTTCTAAGTTTATATTTCAGACTGAGAAGTTTTTATTTTCATCTATCTGTGTATTCATTGCCCTTCTCTGACTGACTTCTAGTTCTGGTGTTCTCCTGTCGTTCTTCATACCTTCACACAGAGATCCCACTGCATACCCAAATGATATGGAATGGGGTGGGGGGGAGAGAAGAAATCAAGTTAATCCATAAACTGGATAGTCATTCTTTAAATTATTAAGATAACATATTACAGTGTGAATACTTAAGAAGTACAGTCCTAGAAATTTCTTTTATAAATATGTTATTCTAATCAAGCGACTCAAATTCTAAGTGAGAAAATAAAGAGAGGAAAAAATAGGGCAGGTATGGCAGGCCAATTAAAATCCCTTTGTCCTAATGTTTCTGCTGACTAGCTGAGGAGGCCACAGAGGGCCTGATGAATCTAAGTCCTTCAGCCATGAAGAACCTCCTGCATCATATTCTCAGTGGCAAGGAGTTTGGAGTGGAACGAAGTGGTAAGTTTAAATAGCCACATTTCCATTTCAGAGTATTTAAGTGTCTTGTTGGTTTTTAAATGTTTTTCATTTCATCAGAGGTACGTTTTCCCCCAAATAATAGCATCCCAATATAGGTAACAGTGAAAAGCAAAGATTTCTTCTGGAACAAGATTTGGAAACTATTGAATGTCTAATTTTTTCCCTTAAATGATACATCAACTAAAAAGATAATTGTCATGTTTCATTTTGGGCAATTTTCTGTTTCCTTCCATTAGCCAAAATCTCCACTTTAGGACAACTGATGACAACCCATATCATCTGAAACTTCCTTGTATTCCAATTGGCAGTAATTCAGTAGCACTTATAGTGGGGAGTGAACGTGTCTGCACTTGTGTGTTTGTGTGTGTGTTTAGCTATAGTATATCTGATATATCCTTTTACCTTTATTTTTTAAAGATTTATTTTATTTGTTTATATATAGAAGAACTAGGGCATAGGCCAGAGGTGTGGGGGTGAGAGGATTCACCAGAGACAGAGTGGGGACCAGAACTGGTAGATCTACTGAGATACACTGCTGAGGGGAGCAGTGGGTGAGGCAAGAGAGGTCTGCTGTGCCATATGGGTTAGCTCCCAGGCCAGGGATCAAACGCAGTTTGTGGAGGTGATAGCACTGAGACTTAGCCCCTAGGCCACCAGGGAAGCCCTGTCCTTTTACCTTTAAATTCAGATACAGGGCCTCCCTAGTGGCTCATGGGGTTAAGCACCACACTGTGAAGCAATCTGCATCCTCTGCAGCACGAGTTCGATCCCCAGCCTGCCAGGGAGCAACCCACATGGCGCAGCAGACCTCTCCTGGCTTGCCTGCTGCTCCCCTCAGCAGTGTATTTCAGTCAGTCTGCCTGTTCTGTTCCCCACTCTGTCTCTGGTGAATCCTGATGTGTCACCCCCCACATCTCTGGCCTGTACCCCAGCTCTTATAGGCATAAAATAAATAAATCTTTAAAAATAAAGATACATGTAGGAGTCCTATCACAAATTAATCTTAAACCTGCACTTGTGATTTGGCAGTGGTATTTGGTATTGAGTACCTCAAATATCTGAAGTTATCTCTTGTTCTCATCTTTTAGGCTTATGATAAATAAATATGCAATGTCAGATGGATGAATACCAGATCTTAGAGTTATAAAAGAAAGGTATAAAGTTGTGCTTCTCATTCCTTACTGTGCATAAGAATCACCTAACGATCCCGCTAAAATGGAGGCCTTGATTCAGTAGGTGTGGAGTGGGGTCTAAGATTTTATTTACAAGGTCCTAAGTGATGCTAATGCTGCTGCTTCATGGACCACACTTTGAATAACAAGTTTATAGTTGGTCAGGGTTTTTTTCATTAACTTAAAAATAAAAGAACACACATTTTATTATGTTTATTGAGGTAATGGATTGCAAAACTGTATATGTATGTATAAGTTCATACCTCTACAAATGTATGTCACCACACCCACCACCAAAGCCCCCAAAATTCTCCACCATAGTCCATTGGGCCTTTTTCCCACTTTGCTTCCATCCCCCATCCCAGTTCCCCAGAACTGGTAGCCTCAGTTCTGCAGTCAATGGTTTGTTTTTTGTCTGTTTCTTTGTTTTGTTTCTTTGTATTCCACGTATGAGTGAAATCATCTGGCATTTGAAAAGGACATACATTTAAGTCATTTAATCATGGTAGAGAAAAATACTGACACTTAATTATACTTTCTCTCTTTAATCTGTCATGCTATATAGTTCGTCCCACTGATTCAAATATCAGCCCTGCTATATCTATCCATGAGATTGGTGCTGTTGGAGCAACCAAAACAGAACGAACTGGGATCATGCAATTAAAAAGTGAGATAAAGCAGGTAAGATACTACTTAGATTAGCTGGAATATTGTCATGCTTGAGCATATTCTTTTAGAATCAGACTGTTGGGATCGCATATTTTGTTTCATATCATGAGTTTGATTTGAGCTACTTATTTTTCAGGTGGAATTTCGGAGACTCTCTGTCTCAACTGAGATTCAGGTGAAACAACTAGGGATCCTTTAACATAGTTAACCTGCCTTTAGTTCTATATAACATGCATGAGCTCATGACCTTTTCGCAAATAAGATCACAAGCCACAAGTAGCTTGTTTGACTCTCCTGTATAGCAGTTATTTTGTGATAGTTTTCCTTTTTCTGGTCCAAGGTATTTTGTTAATTTTAGGAGGAAAGTAACTTGCTTCTACAGCAAGAAATTGAAACTCTGAGTTCCTATTGTTAGGATTAACATATTATTTTGGAATTGATTTTCTTTATAAGACTAGACTTGGATTTCTTACTTTTAAGAACAGGTACTAGGAGAGAACACCATATTAAGTATAGGGCTTTTTAAAAATCTATTTTCATGTATTGTCCAAAAATGATATTTTTATTATTTTTATGATAGAGGTACATGAAAGTTGTTATGGACACATAGATGAGAAAAATCTTAATCAGTCTGGGAGGTGGTGGAACTCACTATATATCATATTGTAGCCTTTTCCCTGAAAATGAGAATAGATGAGTTAGTTATTACATTATATAAAGGCCTAGTTAACTTTATATAGCTTCTTTAAAAACAAACTTCCATAGCTTCTTTCAAAACACTAGGAAAACACAGTACTCCAAAGTGTCCAAGTTGAGAAGGTACTGATTTGATCCCTCCTAGTAGTACTTTTCATGGAAAGCTGAAACTATTCCTACTGCTTTCAAAATAGATTTATGCCAGCTTAAGTTTTAAAGCACATCCAGAAAAGTAGAAGTAAAATGTCATTTGTTCAGTTTCTTTTTAGTAATTAGAAATGACTTAGGTGGGGAATGAGCCAATGTTTGGCATTTAATTTGAAGTAAACTTAATTTGAATATACTTATCAATACCCTCTATCACAAGTGCCTTGTAATGGAAAAATGTTCACTTCGCAGTTTTTTCTCATATAATTTTGATAATCTGAACAGTTTCCTGTTTGAAAGATGAAAGAACTACATTTCACACTGAAGAGTTAAGCTAATGTTGTTTGGCAAACAATCCTTGTTTTGGTTGAGAGTGATTGGCTAAACATTTTATATTTTTTTTATAGACACATGGTATTTCTTCTAAGTTCATTATATATTTAGACCTGAAGTCCATATTCCCAACTAGATTAATATGTTATTAAGGACTTGGCCAATAATAGACCAAGCTATATTATGTAATATTTTTACATACTCGCTATCTATATGTCTTCATGAAAGCCAAAATCATTAGATAAGTCTATAATTTAGGGGACTGAGAGCCTGAAATTTTCATTACTTTCTCATTTCTAAATATTGATTTGCATCCTCACCTGCCTATCTGGTAATTTGTATTGTTCTACACCCCTTCTCTCAACCCTCACCAACTCCCTCTTTTCTGATTATGGAAATAATATTTTTTAAAGTCTTTTTTTAAAGATTTATTTATTTATTTATACAAGCACTGGGTACAGTCAGAAGTGCGGGAGGGTGAGAGAATTCACCAGAGCCAGAGCAGGGAACAAAACAGGCAGACAGATGAAATACACTGCTGAGGGGAGCAGCGGGCATGGCAGGAGAGGTCTGCGTGCCATGTGGGACCCTCGCCAATGGGCAGAGATTGAACTGGCACTGCAGAGGCTGTGGGCAGCTTCACAGTCCAGTGCTCAGCCGCTGCAACACCAGGGGAGGCCCTGGAAATAATATTTTTAAGATAATTTTATTTATTTCCCCTTTTACCATGATGTGTAGTATAAGGTTATTTCATTGGCTTTTTGAGTGATAATTTGTTAATTAGTTATTTGAATACTCTGTAATTTTACTCAAACTTTAAAAAGCATAAAGAATGGTTGCCTTGCCTCATCCCTTTTAGAATTTTATTTTCTCAGGAGTTGTTTATAACCTAGAGGTAGTCATCCCCTGGGTATGGATTTGATGTTATCTTTTCTAGCAACTTTCTGTTGTTTTGTTGTGTATGCCATTCATAGGTGCTTTAAACATGCTGTTATATATAACTCATGACATACATTGATTGAAAACAAGAACAAAATATATTCAAAAGTAAAATAAGTATAGATAAACTTCATGTATGGGAATTCTTGCCATTTCTTTCCCCAAAAAGTAGGGAAGAGGGTTCAATTCTAACCTCTTCCCTATTTTATTTTTTTCTTTTTTAAAAAATATTTTATTTATACAAGAACGGGGGTACAGGTCAGAGGTGCAGGAGGGTGAGAGAATTCACCAGAGACAGAGTGGGGAACAGAACAGGCAGATGGACGAAAGCACTGTTGAGGGGAGCAGCGGGCGAGGCAGGAGAGGTCTGCCACGCCATGTGGGTATCTCCTTGGTGGCCAGGAATCAAAACCACGCTGCAGAGGCTGCAGACAGCTTCACAGCACCACGCTCAACCCGCTGTGCCACCGGGAAGCCCTCTTCTCTATTTTAGAAACAAAATTCAGATTAATAAGTATTTGTAATATATTCATTGATTCTTTTAGCTAGTATAATTGATCTCATATCTACTCTGCACCAGGCTGGGAACTTCTTAAAAATGCAAATTCTTGGTTTCCATCTTAGGCCTATTCAATCAAAAAGACTAGGAATGTGGCCCAGCAATCTGTTTTAACAAGCTCTTTAGATGATTCTGATATACTTTTAAGTTTGAAAACCATTGGGTTAGCTATTTTTCTGATTAATTCATTTAGTAAATATTAATTGAAAGCCAATTTTGTGCCAGACACTGGAAATATAGTAGTGAACAAAATAGATGTGACCCTTGCTCTCATGAAGCTTATAGTTTAGAAAGACTGATCTCTGAATAAACCTCCTTGCTGTAAACTCATGATTCACATGGCCTATGATTTCAGATCTCTCCATCTAAAAAGATTTAGGCCAAATGATAAACAAAAAATAGAAAACTTACTAGAAACAATACTGGTATTTCTGTTGATTTACACCAAAAATGCCATGTAATGAATTAGTATAATAAAACTTGGCCATTGTTCATATCTACATTTATAAAGGAGGACAGAGGTACAGAAGATAAGTTAATCTAAAAACTAAAAATGTTGTGGTTTTGGAAATGGTCTGAATTATACTCTATCACATAGAGACCATTCTGGTTTGACCCCACTATCAGTAGCCTGGGATCTTGCTGGTAAACAGTGAAAATAAATCAAATGGTTGTTTATCTACTGAGTAGGTCAGTGGGATAGTCATTGGCCAAAAAAATGTCTTAGGGCACTTTTCTTTTTTACTTATCAGTGGTTAGTGATTTAGGCATTTGACCCAAATTATAATGTTAGAAGTTCTTTTCTAGGAAAGTATTTCCATTATCTTCTTTCTACTTTATATTTATTTCAGAATCTAAACAGAACCACTTACCCTACTGTATTTCATCCTTTACTTAGTATAAGTTTTTCAAAGTTCATTATGTTGTAGCATGTATCAATATTTCATTCCTTTGTATTGCTGAATAATACCTTATTGTATTGATATGCCACATTTTGTTTATCCGTTCATCAGTTGATGGACTTCTGGATTGTTTCTGGTTTCAGGCTATTATGAATAATACTGCTATGAGCCTACATGTACAAATTTTTGTATGGACATGCTTTCATTTCTCTTAGATATATATTTACCAGTTCTGGGTCATTTGCTAACTCTGTTTTAGTATTATGAGAAACTACCAAACTGTTTTCCAAAGGGGCTGCACCATTTTACATTCCCACCAGCAATAGATGAGGGTTACAATTTCTTCATACCCTCACCAATTCTTGTTATTGTCCATCTTTTCTATTCTAGCCATTTTAGTGGCTGTGAAGTGGATTTTGATTTGCATTTCTCTAAAGGTTTATGATATTAAAACTGATGTTAACCCTTGTTTTCAGACCCTAAAGCACAAAAGAAACAAAACTTATCTAAACTTTTCTTTGAGGCTTGCTTCCACAAACAGCAGAGCCTGAAAACTTACTAGCAAATGACCCAACCTGAGCATGGCAAGACATGACTAACCTTGAGGTGAGTGCCAAGTTGGTTGACACATAAGAGGGAGCCACCCAGAAGCAAGGGGCCCATCAACAGAAATTTAAAACATTAGTTATCTGAAGGAGCCTCTTCATACTTCTCCTTGTATGGACTTCCCTGTAACTAGCCAATAAACTTCACCCAAGTCCACATTTATTGGCGCTTAACCCACTCCTTAGCCAATAAAATTTAATTCTTTTGTTCTCAACTCTACTCCCCAAACCACTGTAAATTCCTCCCCCTACATAGATGGGGAGGCAAATTTGACTTTTTATCTTGCCTCTTTACTAGTCAACTTGCAGTCAGCTTATGTCCTCTCTCAAAAGCAGTTGTCATCATTGGCTTATGCACATCAGGCAGTGAGCCCATTACTTGGTAACAAAACTGAGCATCTTTTCAATGTGCCTATTGGCTCATTGTTTTTCTCTTCTTTGAAGAAGAAGATCCCTTGTTTATTTATTAATTGGGTTAATTGTCCTTTTACTGTTGAGTTGTAAAGGTTCTTTATATTCTGTATATAAATCCTTTTTGAGTTATGAGATTGAAATATTTTGTCCCATTTTGTGGACTCTTTTTCACTTTTTGTTTCCCTTTCAGAGAATACCAAGCACAGAATTCACTTTCGTGATAGTGTCATTTGAAGAATAAAAGTTGGTTTTTTTTTAAGATTGATTTATTTATGCATACAAGAACTGGGGTGTAGGCCAGAGGTGCAGGGGTGAGAGGATTCACCCAAGACAGACTGGGGAGAAGAACAGGCAGACTGACTGAAATACTCTACTGAGGGGAGCAGCGGGGGAGACAGGAGAGGTCTGCTGCGCCATGTGGGTAACTCTCTGGCTGGGGATTGAACTCATGCTTCACAGTGCTGTGCTTAACTCCTTGTGCCACCAGGGAGGCCCAGAATAAAAGTTTTTAATTCTGATGAAGTCCAATTTATTTTTTTTTCTTTTGGCTTTCGTATAAAAGAAGGCTTTTGCCTAATCT